CAGTATCTTCTTAATCAAGCAGATTGTCTGTTTTCCATCTGGCAACATTTTGATAGCAGATCCTTTTTAAAAAAGTGGAAATTGTTTGCTGTGTTTAGATGGTTTTGGGGATCGGGGGGGGAGAAGGGGGAGCTTGTTGATTAATGGTATCACAGTACAGGTTCTGATCACTGATGCTTTCTGTAACAGAATGCACCTAATTTGGTGGCCAAATACTTTCAATTTTAGGCATTCGGCCTTGGCCAGCTTGGTTCTTACATGTCCTGTTAATACTCAACTACTTAATGTATTAATGCAAAATTCACACAGCAGACACCTGTCTGGCTAAGAACATGTCCCATTTACCAGCATGTCCCCCTTTATTCTAAGGCACAAGAATCAGCTTTTCCTGATGTGATGTGTTAATACAGAGTGCATTAGCGCCAAGATGGGAGCTTCCAACCCACTGGGCACAGAGGTGTCAAATAGAATTTTGGATAGCGTCCAATGGCCAAGCTCACATTTGATTCCTTGAAAATTCCATAGCTCACCGGATTGTCCCGTAAGGGATCTGACCAGTGGCTTCAGCTCTATCGCATACAGAGCTGCAGTTCTCACTCCGAGTTCAAGAAGTATACATTAGATTAATGAAAAAAGGCTGGCGTAGTAATAGCTTGGAGGCTTGAACACCTTGGACAGTCCTCAATCTCACTGATGTCCATGAATGGGGGGATCAATCTTTCTGAATAGGTTGGAATTGACTACAGTACACAGCTTTGCTTTGTATGTTTTAGTAATCCTGATGCTCTTTGCAACCTGGTCAAGAATGCCCATAGGCTACTGCTGTTTTATGAGATTTCCCACATGGAGCGTGATGGTGTTAGTCGCCAAGGGAGTCAGGGTGGCATCTGCATGTAATAATCTGCACCTGTCCTCTCTGTTCACTGGCTCTTCTTAGGGGGTGTATTCATGTAATATTATGGTGCCTCCTCTCGAAAAAGTTTTTAGAATATCAGTGGTGGTCTAAGATGTCAAAAATGTTGTATTATAGGCGCAAAGCCTCTCCTTGAGATAGCTCTCTGCTCATCAGGCCCACATAGCTACACGGCTCATAAGCTTGCTCTTGGCTGGAAGTTCTTCCTACGACCCAGCCGCACCAATCAGCTAAAAGCGGTTTGTCTTCTTCTTTAATTCGTTAAACTCATTCGTTTAAGACATGGTTGAGGACATCAACATTATTGCTACATTGCCCCTCAAACCACAAGCCGTTTAAAAGTCTCACTTCTTAACTAGGGCTGGCTGACTCACTGCAGCACCATTTGGAGAGGTGTCACCACCAAAATATTTTCATAACCTCAGGACAAAATAGTGACAAACTTAAACATGTTTTTTTGTTATTCTATAAACATGTTTGCTCCTGGAGTTTAAAAATATGCTCTAAGTTTCGCATCAATTACGTTTTCAGTGGCTTTCAAAGAATAAACCAAGATGATGATGTTGATGATTTGAAGCATTCTGTCTTTGCTTCTGCAAACTTATCTAAATGGCAAAAGGGGCACTTGGGACTAAGAGCATGGGCTACTATTCCGGGGGCATCTGCAGAACAGCAGATATTGAAACGGAACTGGGCTTAACCAGAACATTTTCTGTTCCTCTTCCAGCTGAGTAGCAATGTAAGAACTGTCCAGAAACTGGTGATCAGTAAGTAACTTGAATTAACTTATTTATCAGGACTGAGAGACAGAATATAATGTAGAAAGAACAGGAGTACTTGTGGCACCTTAGAGACTAACAAATTTATTAGAGCATAAGCTTTTGTGGACTTCAGCCCACTTCTTCAGATGCATACGTATATAATGTATTTGTCAGGAGTAAAACATTCTTCGTTATCTGCTTTAAATTTAAGAAACCTATGCAAACCTGAAAATCTTACGTCAGTATCATCATACAAATCAGTTACACAAGGCTCTACAAAAATAAGTGCTAGGGTGCTTACAGAATTCTTTTTGCAGGACTCACTTTCTGTCTGAAAAACTGCTGCATGATAAGTAGTCATTGCTTCCTGCCTTCCTACTGAGGGCCAGATTCTGATATCTTTACTCATGTGGAAGACCATCTTTACTCCACAAGTGGTTCCACTGATGTCAGGACTATTCTGTCCTAGTCTTTTTAAGTTCTTATGCAGCTCTCCTTCACTGATCAACAGCTTCTGCTGGTGAGAGACACAAGCTTTCGAACTTACACAGCTCTTCATCGGGTGTTTCTCTCACCAACAGAAGTTGATTCAACAAAAAGATATTCCCTCACCCACCCTGTCTCTCTAATATCCTGGAATCAACAAGGCTACAACAATGGTCACGTAGGCATTTCTGAAAATTTTACTCACTGTGACTAGCATCTGTCATGGGT